TCTCTGAAAATCAAGCCGGTTTTAGGAAAGGGCATTCAACTACAGACAACATTTTTGTCATACATGTACTTGTTTCATTGTATTTGTCCTTTGGAAAAAAAATGTTTTGTACATTCATAGATTTTAGAAAGGCATTTGATACTATTTGGAGAACTGGACTTTGGTTAAAATTACAAAAGAGCCAGATAAAAGGAAAATATTTCCAAGTTATATATATAATATGTATACTAATATTAAATCGTGTGTTCAATACAACAATATGAAATTCTTCCCGTGTATGATAGAAGTTCGTCAGGGTGAAAATCATTCCCCTTTTTTGTTTTCCATATTCTTAAATGACTTAGAAGATTACTTCAGAAAACTTCATATTTTACCTCTAGAATTAATTAAAGAAAAATGTTATAATGAATTACATGTTTTTTTAGAAATTTTTGTTTTGTTGTATGCAGATGATAATTATGATGAAATGCAAAATGCTCTCAAAAGTTTTTAAAAATTACTGTAAAATGTGGAAACTTAGTGTGAATATTGGTAAAACTAAAGTGATGGTTTTTAGCAAAAGAAAAACATGGATGGATTTTGATTTTAAACTTAATGGTACATCTCTTGAAATTGTAGATACCTAGACATACCTTGGTCTTTTGCTAGATTATAATGGATCATTTGTTTGTGCAAAGAAAAAGCTTGTGGAACAGTTGCAAAAAGCACTTTTTGCTGTTTATACAAAGATTAGAAATTTACATTTACCCATTGATTTACAACTTAAATTGTTTGATTATCTTGTAGAACCTATTTTATTGTGTGGATCAGAAATATTAGGATTTGAAAACATTGATATAATTTAAAAAGTTCATCTACAATTTTGCAAGAGAATTTTAAATGTGAGATCAAGTACTCCAAAGAGAATTAGGCAGGTTTCCACTAGAAATAAAAGTAAAATTAAGAATGTTATCGTTTTGGAGTAGAATGGCTAAAAATGAAAACAAACTTAGTAGTTCTATGTATAAGCTTATTTTTAAATTACATACTGATGATAATCTATATTTGACAACTCAGGATTAGGTTATATGTTTTTCAACCAATACTTTGATTATTTAACTATCAAACCTGTTATAAAACAGATTCTTCAAGATCAGTTTCTTCAAAAGTGGTTCAGTACTATTGATAAATCGTCTCGTGGCGAATATTATAAGTTATTTAAAACTCAGTTTGGTTTTGAAAATTATTCACGTACTACGTCTTCCAGAGGATAAAAGAATCTGGATTTCGAAACTGAGAACATGCAATCTTAAAATTCTTATGGAAACTGGCAGATGGTACAACATCGCTAGAACCGATCGCATATGCACCTTATGTAATGAATGTATTGGTGATGAATATCATTATTTATATGTATGTAATAATAGTACTATTACTGAACTTCGGAAGAAATATATACCGAAATATTATCATGATTATACAACATACCCATCTGTACCGAAAATGCAAAATATGCTGTCATTGTGTCACTGTCAGTTATTGCATAATTTAGCTATATTTATCAAGAAACTATCTACTTTCATTTAGTAAGATGCATGTATCTTACAAGTTTTATGATCTTTAGAAAAAACACTTTTGTTATCGGTTTCTTGTCTATTCTGTCATTTATTGTATTTGATTTCTAATTCGTCCTCATGTAACACATATTTTGTGTCTAAGTGTAAATAAGGAATTGAAAAATTTAATTGACAATAAATTTGAGTTACTTCCCCTTTTTGTCACCTTTCACAATATACTCCTTAATTTTATGTTTCTTTTTGAAAAAAGATTAAATATAATACAAATTGAATGCAAATACATATCAGAATATTACTTTCTTTTATATTTCTACCTTAGAACAATTAAAAAATTATTTTGAAAGTTAATTTTTTTTATCTCTACTTCCTTTAAATGCTTGATTATTTTATTGCATTCAAATATCAACACACTAAAAGAAGATGCATACTGGGAAACAAGTAGCTTGAGAATTGGTATAGTACAATGAATGAAACAAAGAGAGGGGTATGGCTTGGCTTGAAATGATAAAGTATAACACATTAATATTTCATTGGTTTATTATGCAATGAAAAAATAAAATTAAAGCTTTAAACTATTTTCAGTTAGTACTTCACCATGTGAACATATTTTGGAAACTGTTCGTTTTAAAATATAAATAAATGTCCTCTAAATTCTTAAATTCAGCTGAAAAAAAGTTCGCACGCGTTATGACCTGAGATTTCTTCTTCAATGCAGGTCATGACCAGCATTTTCATTTTCATAGGTTGACAGGTATGTATTTCATGTTGATTAGTGACGTCCTGGTGACCTGAAGCAAATGACCTTTTGACCTAAAGGGGTTACCATACAAGAGTCCTGAGACTATTCATCTTTTGGATAATTTTTTGATTTTTCATGAATATGTGTCATTCCAAATACAAAATGTGTATTAAAAATAAATTCACAGTAGAAACTATTCCAATTCGGTGGGATTTCCCCACCATCGTTTTACTGCAAGTAACGAGTAACGCGTCAAAAAGATCATGTCTGTTGTTGATAACAGTGGCATGTTAGTGTGTGTGTGTGCATACCAGTATTTCAATTTTCTGTGTCTTCTTTTTGTATAATTTACCATTTTTTGGGGGTAGGCAGTTTACAAGTGCGACCGAAGAATGCAGGGGAAAGAAACTTATCATTTATTTTTACTTTTAAGACCAAAATTGGCCGTGTCGAGGAGGTCACCGACAACGCTCGAGAACATTAAATACACTTTATATGTACTAGTAGTCCTACATTAATATTTTTCTACGCAGTCAGTATCCCGATTAGTATATATGTCTCTGGTTCAACAATTTCTTTTAGTTAGTCTATTTTAGCACCTCACTATTCAGTCTTACATTTTAGCACCTCACTATTCAGTCTTTACATTTTAGCACCTCATTATTCTCTTTTCTTTATTTTTTTGGTCCATTTTTCCCTATTCTTTAATTTTTTTCCCATTATTCTCTATTCTGTGAACCCCCATCCACACCCTCTACCTGAGACTACTATAACACATATAGTAGTTTCAGCCTCAACTATAGCATACAAAAATGAATAAAAGATTAGCAACTAGGCATATAGCTCTATTTTCTTACCATTTAACGCAAGAGCTAATTTTATCGTATTTTTGTCAGTGACTGTGAGTAAATTATTTATCACATAAAGGCCTACTTAATTTTTGTCTAATATGACCCCCGCCCCCTTCCAGCTCGTATCCGATTAAATTAAGATCACTCTGACTAAAGTAAGTTAGTAAGTCACAGTTGCTTCCAGTCTTCACGCTCCGGCAACCACAGGCCCACCAGCCCAAGCTTGTAAAATTACTTTTGGGCCTGTAAAATTCATCTCTACAGGCTTATAGAATCTAAGTTAATTTTTTATTAAATTCAACTATGGGCCTATTGATTCAAAACTTTAATGTGAAGACTGCTTTTTTAGATTCGGTATATTGCAAAATGTGTAAACATGAAGCATGCTTGTAAATAAATTCTAAAATACAGCACAAAAGATGCAGAATATATCAAACTCATAAGTCGTAGACAACCAGACACCGCCATGTCAAACAACAGTCTATAAAACACAACTATGAGGGTCTGGATGGGGGTCCTTCGTTTCTATATTCTTTAATTGTTTAGGCCAATTTACTCTATTCTTTATACTGTTTGCTCATCATTCTCTATTCGTTATATTTTAGCACAATGTATTTATAAAGGTTACTCGGGAACACGTGTATTTGTTTACTTTTAACACGTGTGTTTAAATCAAAACATGTTTATGTTTAATTTGATTGGACCATCAGTAAGTTATTACCGGTTTAAGTTATATCAATCATGATAACTTCATGCTAGAATTTTAGCGCTAAAATTATTATAAGATATCTAGAATTGTCATTCGAGGTTCGCCTATCCGACAGAAAGGTTCGTTTTTTCTTAAATCGCCACTTGGTAAAATGTCCGAATCTTCTCCACGTCTGGAATTGAATGAAGACATACTACTCGAAGGAGATAATAGTTTACCGCCACCTAATATTCATAAAGCAGCTGATAAGTCGTCTGATTTGGTAGATACTGTAGAGCTTTTTAAGACAATTTTAGACAGCAAGTTAGGTGAGTTGAAATCTGAACTCATACAAGAACAAGATTGCCTTAAGAGAAAAATTAAGGAGGACGTCACTCTAAAATTTAAGGGGGAAGGAAACAGAATTCAGTACACCTTTAACGAGGAATTATTAGACACTGTTAATAAACTTTCAAAATTCATCCCTAACTCCAATACTCAAGCCTATAGATTAGTTCTTGACATAACTGATAAGATCAAAAGCCGTAATAAGAAAATACGCATAGCTGATGCTTCCCCTGCTGGTTGGGGAACCGTTAGGGAATACGAATCCAATGCCGTGGCTTCAGATTCTGAAGATGAGAGAAAGATACGACAAGCTGAGACCAGAGCTATCCGTACCTCCAAGGAGAAGTCAAAATCTCGCCAGCAACCTTACCCAAAAAATCCGCCTCGTCAACAACCTGCGGAATCTTATGGTAACCCTGCTTACGCTCAGCATTATCAACGTAATCAGCAACAGCCCTTTCGTGGGAGCTTCGCAAGGCGTGAGCCTTGCTCAATCGACACGTGCCACTACTGCAAGCAACAAGGCCACTGGAGAAAAAACTGTCCTCTTCTCGCCAGTCTCAGGTCATCCAACAGCAAATCCACAACCTACCAGAAGTAGTAAAGTAGGGCCTGAACGTCACTCTCCAGTCATTGTGAATGATAAGTATTTAGACACTATTAATGACCAATTTTCTACATGTTTTGTTGATAACGATTATATAGAATCTTTTTTAGATCAAGTTCAATATTTTGAAAATTGTCAGTCATATGATAAATTTAAAGGGGTGAAAGGTAGATTAGCTTGTCATGTAAAGTATTGGGAAAAAATAAGGTGCTTGTCCTTTTGTGCTTGATACAATAAAAAATGGTTATGTTATTCCATTTATAGATACACCTTTTAAAATGTACCACAGAAATAATAGATCAGCACGGCAGAATACTGAATTTGTCACAAAGTCAATTGAAGATTTAGTTCAAATAGGTTGCGTAATTAAAGTGCCTTTTCAACCATATGTGGTAAATCCATTGAGTGTTGCTACTCAAAAGTCCGGTAAGAAACGACTTATTTTAGATATGAGTCAATTGAATAAACACATAAAGCGCGAAAAAATAAAATTTGAGGATTGGAAGTTAGCTATACAATATTTTGACAAAGATATGTATCTGTTTAAGTTTGATTTAAAATCTGGTTATTTTCACTTAGACATATGCTCACAGCAACAGACTTTCTTAGGTTTTCAGTGGGAAGGTCAATTTTATTGCTATACTGTTTTAGCTTTCGGAATTACTACCGGTCCGTACATTTTTACTAAATGTTTGAGGCCACTAGTAAAATTTTGGCGTGGAAACGGTATAAAAGTTGTTTTGTATTTAGATGATGGATTTGGCATGAGTCCAGATGAAAATACATGTAATGAGCAATCGTCCTTCGTAAAAAGGTCTTTGATTGATGCTGGTTTCCTTATTAACGAGGAGAAGTCTGTTTTTAAACCTGTTACCGAGTTAGAATGGTTGGGAATAGTTTGGAACTCGAAAGAATACAAATTATCTATTACTCAACGTCGAGTTGACGATTTGATTTTCTCATTGAATGTAATTTTGGCTAAATTTCCCTATGTTACAGCTAGATCTTTAGCTCAGGTTGTAGGTAGAATTATTTCTATGACTCCCGTAATCGGAAATGTGGCTAGAATTATGTCAAAGTTCTGTTACATGGAAATTGAAAGTAGAATTGGGTGGGATATTCCCATTACAGGGTACAAACCCGTCGAGGTTTTATCAGAGTTAAAGTTCTGGTTAGAAAATGTCACCATGATTAACTATCGTAATTTATGTCATTACAGTAAATCTTCTGTTGTCATATACTCAGATGCTAGTAATATTGCCGCTGGTGCATACACCGTTGAATTAGAAAATAAGATTTTCCATAAGATGTGGACATGTAGTGAAACGGTACAAAGCTCCACATGGAGAGAGCTGAAAGCTATAGAGTTGGCCCTTTTTTCTTTTAAGAATAGTTTCACAGGAAAAACTATAAAGTGGTTTACTGACAATCAAAATTGTGTCAAAATTGTTAATTCGGGAAGTATGAAAGAAAATCTTCATGTTATAGCAAAATCTATTTTTTCATTTTGCATTCAAAAAGGAATATCAATTGACATTCAATGGATTCTCAGAAAAGAAAATGAAAAGGCTGATTATATCAGCAAAATGGTTGATTTCGAGGACTGGGGAGTCACACATATATTTTTCAATTTTTTAAATGATATGTGGGGTCCTTATTCGATTGACAGGTTTGCAAGTGTCGAAAATAGAAAAGTTATGAGATTTAACTCCTTATTTTGGCAACCTGATTCTGAAGCAGTTGATGCATTTTCTCAAGTTTGGACCAATGAAAATAATTGGCTAGTTCCACCAATTAATCTTGTGATACGATCGATTAAACACATTATAGCTTGTAAAGCTCGAGGCACGTTAGTTGTGCCTAAGTGGATTTCTGCTGCATTCTGGCCTTTGATATTCGATAAACATCTGATTTATCAAGATTACGTAAAAGATGTTATTGTGTTTAAAAATACTGATGGTATTTATAAGCAAGGTTCGAATAAGAATACGATATTCGGAATTGAACCGTTTGGTTCGCCAGTTTTGGCTGTTTTGCTAGATGCATCTTAGACATGGCCCTAATATATATAGATATATTTTAGCAGGCATGGTCTGTTTGTGACATGGCCCTAATATATATATAGATATATTGTAGCAGTCATGGTCTGTTTGTGACATGGCCCTAGTATATGTATATTGTAGCAGGCATGGGTGTTTATGTTGACATGGCCCTAGTATCGGTAATGATATTGTAGCAGGCTTGGTTTTTTATTTGACATGGCCCTAGTATCTATAATGATATTTTAGCAGGCATGGTAATTTGTTTTACAGTTTATGGCCCTAGTATCTATAAAGATATTGTAGCTGGCGTTGAAATATTTGAATATATATTATATTTTACTGTGTATAGAAATCTGAAATATGCTAATAATTCGTCCTCTGTATATGTATATAAAATGTTATTGCAATTTTACGTTTTTCAGATATTTTTTCAGTAGGACATTGGTCAGACTTTAATTCACAAGTTGCCTCTAATAATGATCTCAGCAGTTTGTTCAAACAGTTACCAGAATTCCTTCTTTCGTCCAAGGCTGCGAGTACTCAGAAGAAATATAGATATGCCTTCAATTCATGGTGTAAGTGGACTAGTCAATATTCTTTTTCACCATTGCCAGCATCTCATTTACATATTTCTTTATATTTAATTCATTTGTCTGAAACTGCAAAATCGGTTTCAAAATTAAATGATGCTTTTTACGCCATAAAATGGGCACATAAATTAGCTGGCGTTGCTGATCCCAGTGAAAATAATCTAGTTGCATCTGTTCTTGAAGGGGCTCATAGAAAAATAGGTCATTCAGTTGTCAAAAAAGAACCTATCACACCGCATATTTTGAAAAATATTGTATGTAAATATGCTAATAATACTTGTAATTTAAAAGATGTAAGAATAGCATGTATGTGTTTATTAGCCTATGCTGGCTTTTTAAGATTCTCCGAGTTAGCTAACTTGAGAAGGTCTGATATACAGTTTTCCCCTACTTACCTTACACTTCATTTAGTCAAGAGTAAAACTGATGTATATAGGGAAGGGAAAGATGTTGTCATTTCAAAAACAGGGAATATTACATGCCCGGTAGATGTACTTCAGCGTTATCTAAAGTTAGCTAACATTCCTGAAGAATCGAATGATTTTATTTTTAGATCTATTTGTTATTGTAAATCTTTGAATATATACAAACTTAGAAAGAGTAGTCATATTTCTTACACCAGAGCCAGAGAGTTATTGTTATCTGCACTTGACAGTTTAGGTCTTGATAAAAAACAGTTTGGCTTACATAGTTTGAGGTCAGGAGGAGCTACTGCCGCGGCAGAAGCTGGAATAGATGACCGGTTGTTTAAGAAACACGGGAGATGGAAAAGTGATAAAGCCAAAGATGGTTATGTTAAAGAGAGTATACTCAACAGATTGTCAGTATCTAAGAATTTAGGATTGTAATTTATATTGTTTGTCCCCCCTTTTTCTTTATGTCCCTTTCTTTATCAATCGAAGCTTTCTGTGCTGTCGGGGCGAGCTGATAACCAAAAACTGTGTTGAGTTTTTACTTTGTAAATGCTTTATGTTCGTTTGAAGTATTGAATAAGAACATAAATGTATTTATAAAGGTTACTCGGGAACACGTGTATTTGTTTACTTTTAACACGTGTGTTTAAATCAAAACATGTTTATGTTTAATTTGATTGGACCATCAGTAAGTTATTACCGGTTTAAGTTATATCAATCATGATAACTTCATGCTAGAATTTTAGCGCTAAAATTATTATAAGATATCTAGAATTGTCATTCGAGGTTCGCCTATCCGACAGAAAGGTTCGTTTTCCCACCCACCCACCCCTTTTATTAAGACTTCATAGGAATGTGAATCAGTATGTTATGTAGAAAATAGTTGATAAAATACATGTATGTAAATCGAAATGATTTTTTCTTCAACTTATAGAACATTTTTCTATTGTAGATTGTGTTTATATGTGATGGCAGCGGTCGATGACAGCAAATTGGACATTTGTTTATTGTTTATAATAAAAATAAGCTTTCTGTGCTGTCGGGGCGAGCTGATAACCAAAAACTGTGTTGAGTTTTACTTTGTAAATGCTTTATGTTCGTTTGAAGTATTGAATAAGAACATAATCATTATTCTCTATTCTTTATTTTTTGGTCCAGTTTTCTCTATTTTTTATATTTTTTGCCCATTATTCTCTATACTGTACACCACCACCCACACCCTCAACTACAGCTACAAAGACAAATAACTTTTAAAGATTAGCAACTAGGTCTATAGCTTTATTTTCTTATCATATAACTCAATTTGAGTAAACATAGGTTTCTTGTATTATATGATAAGAATTTGTTTTAACAATTTCTTTTAGTTAGTCTATTTTCATGCAAACCCAGTTCTTGAATACAAAACGACCGATACTCCTACCTTACAATTAAAAGTCAGATTATGTGTGTGTAAGTTTATTAGAAAATTCAACGAGACACGTTCTAATCAGGTAAAATCTAATATACCAATTTAAAAATTCAGATCTACTAGCAGTCAACATCCATTTTGACTGTCCATTACTTACCTGCTGTATATTGCTAACTTTGATTGTATATTGCCAAACCCTCAACATCGTGAGTACGCCACACATGTGCGGTGTGTTGGCTATGTTTGATAAGGGGTGGCGGCTACGAAGCGAATACAAAAAGACCCAGGTCAATAAAAGTGTTGAATTTTGTTGTTGAGAATTTTAAGTACTATTTTGTACGTAACTCTGTTCTACAGGTAAAAAAAACTTGTTTTAAATGAAAATTTGAATATAGCATCTCGTTTACTTTAGATAAATTGTGAGCTATTGCTGACTTTAATATTACCCCATTATTTGATTATGAGTATTAAAAAAACATGAAGTTAATGAGCAATGGATAAGAAAACACTTCACAAGTATAATTATTGATAAAAGACAGAAAGTCACAGGACAAAAGTTCAAATGAATTAGTTTACAATTGTTTAAATGAATAAGAGAAAGGTCTTGATGTATTTATTTTCATTAGATAAATCAGAGACATATAATAATTGTATTGAGTCAAGTAATAATAATTATTAACAAACCACTTTGATAGATTGTTTTCTTAACAATCATTGATCATTATCAATATTTAAGAATAAATTTTGTTTACAAATTCGTTTTAGAAATAATAGTTCAAGAAAAATACTTCAACGTTTTTAAAAATAAGTCTTTTGGTATCCAAAGAAAAAAAAATATCCCAAAAACTGAATTGTGAATTTTTACTCGTTACTTTTTGTTGTGCGTTTTTGGTGTTAATCCCAACAAACACAAATTTGGTGATAAGAATCGATTTGTTGGTCTTTTGTAAAAGAAAACGTCACAATGTAATTTTACAGGGGGAAAAATGGAAGGAGTGCATGCAATATTGATCCTTCAAGAGACAAGTGAATGTGGGAGATATTCATTCCCTATTGTAAATGATTGATCGTTGGTTGCTTAACGTCCAGTGGCAAGTATTTTATGCATGTTCAGGACGAGAACAAAAAAAAAACAATAAATACAATAGGTAGGTCTTGTAATTGAGACCGTCCGGGATAAGGTCGGGAAAATTTCGACTGCCACTGAAGAATGAGGGACAAAAATTTGGCCTTGCAACAGGCCACCTACGGACCCCTCAAAGAGTTGTTGCAAGGGTTCTTTACGTGCAGAGAGCGTGGCACTCTCGCTACACGAGGCATCAGATTTAACGTCCCCATTCTGACCGGACGTGGCTGCGTGATTGATACATCCAACACAGCCAAACGGACGCCCCACTTCGGCAAGAGTTTTACTGACGGTCGGAAGAAGACCTGTAGCGACCATATTTCTATTCCCCAGTCACCCTTGGGGGCCCTATTGTTTTTTTTACCCTATTGTAAAAAATAATGTTTCACGTCATAAACGACGATTCTCTAGTTCTCTAACAAATTCACTTCATGTTCCATAATGGAACGGAACCGTTACCCTATTGCGAGAGAAGCAGACATAGGTAAAAGTTATCATATCGATTTAGCTGTTAGTGAGTTTCTTGCAATTTTCAATTGTAGGTAAAAGAGGTGAATGTAGGACAGACAATCACAGGACAAAAAGTCTCAATTCAGCAGTGGCGGATCCAAGGAGGGGGTTCCAGGTGTTGGAACCCCCCTTTTTTTGACGATCAATACTTTTGAATGGGGACATGTGGTTGGAACCCCCCTTTATCCTGGGTTGGGAACCCCTTCCCATTTTAAAAATGGCTGGATCCGCCCCTGCAATTCAGTTTTGAGATTAATTTTCTTTGAATATCAAGAAAACACTTATTAAGAAAAAAATATATATTTTTCTTGAACTACTATACATAAAGCAATTTAGTTAACACAATTAATTCATATATATGCAATAAATAGAAATTTGTTCAAGGTATTCGAACAATTATAAACAAATTGTTCGTGACTTTTTCTCCTGTTACTTTTTGTCCACTTACCAAAAGGGTATGTCCAATTTCCCCTTTCGCTCACATGTTTAAATTTAAAAAAATGATGAATTTAACAATTTATTAATATACACTCACATATCTACTTCGTTAGAAAAGAATGTTCTTCTCATCTGGACTTATAATTTAATCAGTATCCATTCTCTATTTTTGGATTGAAAAAAATATCCTTAAAAAATACGGTTTTGAACCTTCTTTCTGCATTTTCAATTTAGTTACACGGTTCAGCAAAACGTGATACAAATGGTACATCTCCAATGTTTAGGCATATATTTGAAGCTGTTCAAAATTTTCTACATTATAAGTACATTTATCAGATCGGAAGACTTTTTTCAATGGTCCTATATAGCTAGTTAAAGTTATCTCAGGGTTAGTGATCCAGTGTGAAATTAATCCACTTGAAATTAGCCCTTCAAAACACAAATCTGCGTTTACTCAATGGGTAGTTACAGAAGTTTATTTGCTAGGGTTTTTTTCCTTATTTTTTTATAACTTTATTTATATTTCCTTTTTTTCGTGAAAATTTTGAGTTGTTAAATATGTAAGTGACACAAATACTACATTTAACAGAAGAAAATCTGTGGAATGTCATCAGTTGCAATATGTATTAATTGAGTATTACACGTGGACATGATGTTCCCCAGAAAATTAAGGTATTCCAAATTAGCACATACTTACAACTTCTCGTCCAATCAAATTGCTTATATTTGCCTTCTAATTTTCATAGTACATACTTTTCCTGTGTACTAAGTAACTACGCATGAATGACCACAAGGGTAAGATTTCATTGTATCGTCATCAAGATATTTAAAACAAAAATTGCCACTGGCTATTTTGAAATAAAATGCTGTGTTCCAAATTAAATTAAATAGTTTGTAATTAGTTTTCACATTGATTTTTAAATATCCTGCTATTAAAATCTTTGGATCTAAAAAATGTTTTTGACAATTGCAAATTTTATCATTTAAATAAAGGGTAATACATATGGTTCTTTATACCTTGATTAGAGTACAACGATATCTTAAAATTATGATAATGTATCCACTGTATCTAAACTACCCCGGCGAAAAATGTTTGGACTCAATAGTATCTAATGTCCGGTACGGTGACGGAAAATAAACAGACAGAAAAATGTAGAAATTCTGTTTATTTATTTGTTGTTTTAATGATATTGAAGAATATACATACACATATAACTATTTTCGATAGTGTGATGTAATATTTTCTACCACCGTTCTAGATTTATGGAGAAATAAGTAAAAATGCACATCAAAATGGTGAATTGAGTGAACCCTGCCTCGAATTTGTTTAATTTCTCTTTAAATTGAGCACATTGTACGGAAAGAAAGGTACGGAAAGAAAGATATTAACACGGAGATTTCAAGACTTTTCACTATGATCGCCTCAATATTTGCATGTCTGTGCATGGAATGAAAGAAGTGGGTCATGTCAAAATTGAAGCACCCGGTTTTGTCAATGTGTACGACCCGGTTTTGTCCTTATATTTCACAAAGCAGACCCGGTTTTGTCATAGAAAATAATGCATAATCGCATGACAAAAATTAAAATATGGCGTTCAACAGCAGTTTGAGGGATCGTTGAAAAACATTTTCTTTCAGAGGATAACTTATAACCTTTTTGAATCCGTAAACACTTGAACTCCTGCTATATTAGAACAAAACAAATTTCAATTATGTTTTGTATAAAAAAAAAGGAAAAATTAAAAAGAAATGAAGGTTTTGAAACGGAATTAGATTTTTTTATATCATCTATGTAAATTTAAGTGTTCAAACTTAATTAGTGTACGGCCTTGAAAATTTAAGGACGCACATTTGATATGTGATTTTTTGGGACAACAAGATGGTTATCTTAGTGTTCCGCTCTACTTAAAGGGAAGACAGTATAATCGTTTGAAAATAAATATTCTGAAACTAAACGTTCATTATAATGCAAGAGAATAAGACAAATGTATGTGCATGCAGAATCGCCCAAGAAAAGGAATTTCCATGCGGCGCAAAGGATCACAATAATAGTGCGTTAAAAATCTGTTTACCCCTCCTTGTTATAATAATACTAAGTATAAATTATTATAAAAGTCTTAGGCCATCCGGAAATTGCAATAATTATTATTTGATTAGTAATTTATATAAATAAACGATGTTTCATCTCTCTTTTTTTTTAACATTAACAAATTCTTTAATGCACTAGTATCAAGTTGTTAACAACTGCCCTATATAGTACAAC